TACCTGCTCTATCCCATGCAGACTGGCCTTAAGTGAAAAGGAGGGGTATATTTGTGTGTTCATAAAGTGCCATCAAGTTGCCTCTGATTTATGGTGAGCCTATATATTAATGTCCTCCAAAACATCCTGTTGTTAACAGCCTTGCTTGGGGGTCTTGCATTACTGATCTGTTCTCCCTTCCAGAAGCAGCCCAGCATTTAGCACAGTACATCCAGGCCTCCACTCGGATACTCATTTTCTCATTCCTGAGTCAGCTGAAACTATGCTTGAAGAGGGTGCAAACTTGATGGCCTCGGAGAGGGAGCACTGAACTATTGCTGCCCATTTCCCAGGCGAGAGGTTAGCCTCCGAGCTACTGGAAACAGCAGGAATGGGAGATCAGCAAGCTGGGATCCTATGCCAGAGAAGTTTCTTTGTCTCTCTGTACTGCAGCCATTGCCTCTATTGGGTGGGTTACAGCCAGCTCACCCCCTCAATATATACCTAGTTACAGCTTCTCTTTTGCCAGGCACTGCACAGCTGTCCACAGAGAGAGGAAGGGGTGCACGCATGTGCCACAACCACCTCCCTAAAGCTATTTTTAATCAAGCCGGCTACAGCCCTGATCAGGACTGCCAGAGAGCAAAGTGGCAGCCATGACAGACTGAATCTGTTCAGACCTACTTTAATTTCTTACCTGTACTTTAATGCCTCTGAAGGAGACTGGTGGATCAAAATGAGCCCAGCCCACACACATTCACTGCTTTGGCATAAGCCTAGCTGTGGTTTTTGTAAATACAAATCTGATCCGGTTGGAGTTATAATGCTGACATTTCCAGCCGACTCAGCTTACAGACCTGTGGTTTCCAAATCTGCAGCTGACCTGCTGGCAGCCACAGGCAATAATTTGCAATACTTTACTTAATACATGATTTCTATTTTGTGTTTGTGTGGGGGGGGGGGGGGGGTAAGCAATGACACACATAGTAAGACATTGTAGCCTAAAATCTATGCCCAAGCAGTTGGCACTTCCCCCTCTCATAAAACTTGAAGTCCTGGACTTTAACAGGGATAGCCACGATGATGTCTGTTCCTTGCTTTCCTGAGTGTCTCTTACAGTGAATGCACAGGCACGTGGGGGGGGGGGGAAGCAAACATCCCCAGTCCTTCACTCAGTGCAAGCCTCAATATACTTGCAATATATTTTGAAAAAGAAAAATTCTGCTGCCAGGACCCGGTTTTGCAAATCATTTGGTACATCACCTAAGGATAGGGAGAGGAAAGGCACGGAGTTTGGAGGGAAAGGGATTCGGGAACAAACAGAAGGCCTTCTGCAACCCCCACCACAACTGCACCACATGACCAGAGAGATGTGCCACAGTGTTCTGACAGTGTCTCTCATCTTCTTTGAGGGAGCACAAAGGGATGCACACAGAGCTCCTTTCCCAACTTCAGGGCACAACTGGATCCCCAGAAGGACAGAGCAGCCATCAAGTTGATTAAACAGCTTTCCAAATACCTGAAAGGAGGGTGGGTTGGATGCGAAATAGCTGTGATTCCTGCTCACAGATGAGAGGTTACAGAGCAAGGTGTTTAACCAATAGAAAGGAGATGGAGGCTGCACAGCAGCAAAGGACTCACTACAGCAATGAATGAAGTGGCTTCCTCCAGCGATGGCAGAATTCTACTTTTCGCTGCTGTGTTTACACCTCTCATCTGAGGTAAGGGACACTGCCGACAAAGGTTTCTTCCACCTCTAAGATTCTCAGTCGTCATCCACCCACTCAAGACAGCGACTTGACAGCAGCCAGAGGATATAACAGGGCAGCAACAGGAAGAGAAAAATGCCCCAAAGCAAGTCTCAGGCTTCAAACAGCCACTCACACTCCCATCCATCAAGATAGCTCCTGGAGCCAATTGTGTCAGAGCTGAGAGAAATCCCCATATTTTTCCAGTTAGAACAAGTCAGTCAACCTGGATCATACAAACTGAAGGCACAAAGATCGTGGACCTTTCTAAATTCCCCTTTCCACAGCAGTAGCAGTCTTTTTGGTCCCTGGAAAAGTTTATTCCCACAGTCGTGGGACCTGCATGGGTTAAGGGTCCACGTGGGTGAGGGGGCTGCAGTGAGAAGGGGAAGGGCACAAATCATCCCCTTCTCTCTCCTCCATCAGTGGAGCTGTCCTGATGGAAGAGGAAGAAAAGGGATGTTTCATCCAATTCCTCCCCACTGCAGACCCCCAACCCATGTCGGTCTCACAACCATCGAATGAA